CCCTTTGCCACTCTGATCTCCTTTTCCAGTGTGTATTTGGCCTGTTTATACAAGACTCTGTCCCCATTCTTGTAAGCATCTTCTTTGGCCTGACGGAGCTGTCTGAGTTTTGCAGTAAACCATGGTTTGTCATTGTTTAATGTTAAATAAGTCCTGGTAGGAATGCACATGTCTTCACAGAAACTGATATAGGATGTTACAGTCTCTGTGAGCTCATCCAGATAATTGGTAGCAGCTTCAAAAACACTCCAATCAGTGCAGTCGAAACAGGCTTGTAAATCCCGCTCTGTTTCATTAGTCCTTTACAGTCCTTAATACAGGTTTAGCTGATTTCAGTTTCTGCCTGTAGGTCGGTATAAGATAAACCAAACAGTGATCAGAGAGCCCCAAAGCTGTCCGTGGGACAGAGTGATATACATCCTTTATTGTGGTATAACAGTGATCTAATATATTGCTGTCTCTGGTGGGACATGTAACATGCTGTCTGTATTTTTGGTAGTTCACAAGTCCCCAAGAATGATTATAACAGAGTCCGGGTGTTGTTGTTCTGTGTCAGTGATTTGATAAGCGAGTTTCTGTAAAGCCAGGCTTACGTGTGCTTGCAGAGGAATGTAAACACTCACGAGAATGAACGAAGAAAACTCCCGTGGCGAATAGGAAGGTTTACAGTAAATGAAGAGCGCTTCTAGATCGGGACAGCGTATATTCTTTAACGCTGTTACGTCTGTACACCACCTTTCATTGATGTAAAAGCATGTCCCGCAGCCACGCGATTTCCCCGCTGATTCTGCGTCGCGATCCGCTCTGAACAGCTGGAAGCCCAGCAAATGTAGCGTGCTGTCTGGAATGGCGTCATTTAGCCTGGTCTCCGTGAAACACAGAGCAGCAGAGTTTGAAAAATCCTTATTTGTCCGGGAGAGCAGAAGAAGTTTATATGTTTTGTTGGGTAGAGAGCGTAGATTCGTCCAGATGGATGATAGGCAGCGCCGTTCGAAATCCGCGCTGTCTAAAATAAATGAATGTGCCGGCTCGCTTCCCCTGTCTGCGCGTCCTGAAGCTTTTTATTTCATAACACATGAAATAAAAAATTTTGCTAACACTTTACAATGAGGTTAAATTGGTAACAATAACTGTAACTATAAATATGAAATATAAAATAACAATATACTTGAACTAATGCACTAGGTATTATGAACTAACAATTATCAATATTTTTACAGCATATATTATTATACTGTAGGTAAATTAATGTCTACATATACTAATATATTTTACTAATATATATGAAATATTAATTATGAATGAACATAAATTATCAATGAGCAATCATATACATTTAAACATTTAACATAGCTTGATTAAAAAAAGAGTTTATTATTAATGTCAATTAATTGAACCTTGTAAAGTGCTATCAAAATATGGGTTATGTTAACCAATTTAGACATTACTTATATATATATATATATATATATACAGTATCTCACAGAAGTGAGTACACCCCTCACATTTTTGTAAAT